TCATGATAAATTAAGTTCAATTAATCATATTACTTAAGAACTCCCACTTATATAGACATCCCTTGAGTTATCTAAATGATCACATGATCCATATCAACTAAACCATGTCCGATCATCACGTGAGATGGAGTAGTTTTAAATGATGAACATCTCTATGTTGATCATATCTAGTATATGATTCATGTGCGACCTTTCGGTCTCTAGTGTTCCGAGGCCATGTCTATACATGCTAGGCTCGTCAAGTTTAACCCGAGTATTCCGCATGTGCAAAATTGTCTTGCACCCGTTGTATGTGAACGTAAAGCTTATCACACCCGATCATCACGTGGTGCATCAGCATGACGAACTGTGGCAATGGTGCATACTCAGGGAGAACACTTATACCTTGAAATTTTAGTAAGGTATCATCTTATAATGCTACCACCGTACTAAGCAAAATAAGATGCATAAAAGATAAACATCACATGCAATCAAAATATGTGACATGATATGGCCATCATCATCTTGTGCTTCTGATCTTCATCTCCAAAGCATTGTCACGATCTCCATCGTCACTGGCATGACACTTTGATCTCCATCGTAGCATCGTGGTCATCTCGCCAACTATTGCTTCTACAATTATCGCTAACGCATAGTGATAAATTAAAGCAATTACATGGCGTTTGCATTTCATACAATAAAGAGACAACCATAAGGCTACTGCCGGTTACCAGTAACTTATACAAAACATGATCATCTAATACAATAACGTATATCACATCATGTCTTGATAATATCACATCACAACATGCCCTGCAAAAATAAGTTAGACGTCCTCTACTTTGTTGTTGCAAGTTTTACATGGCTGCTACGGGCTTCTAGCAAGAACCGTTCTTACCTACACATCAAAACAACAACGGTGATTTATCAAGTTTTCTTTTTTAACCTCCAACAAGGACCAACCGCAGTCAAATTCGATTCAACTAAAGTTGGGGAAACAGACACTCGCCAGCCACCTTTACGCAAAACTAGTTGCATGTCTGTCGGTGGAACTGGTCTCATGAACGTGGTCATGTAAGGTTGGTCTAGGCCGCTTGATCCAACAATACCGCCGAATCAAAATAAGGCATTGGTGGTAAGCAGTATGACGATCACCGCCCACAACTCTTTGTGTTCTACTCGTGCATATCATCTACGCGTAGACCTAGCTCGAATGCCACTATTGGGGAACCTAGCATGCCTTTTCAAAAAAATTCCTACGCTCACGCAAGATCTATCTAGGAGATGCATGGCAATGAGAGGGGGAGAGTGTGTCCACGTACCCTCGTAGACCGAAAGCGGAAGCGTTTGACAACGTGGTTGATGTAGTCAAACTTCCTCTCGTTCTGACCGATCAAGCATCGAACGTACGACACCTCTGAGTTCCGCACACGTTCAACTCGATGACGTTCCTCGAACTCTTGATCCAGCAAAGTGTCGAGGGAGAGTTACGTCAGCACGATGGCGTGGTGACGGTGATGGTGAAGTGATCCACGCAAGGCTTTGCCTAAGCACTACGACAATATGACCGGAGGCGTAAACTATGGAGGGGGGCGCCGCACACGGCTAACAACTGTTGATCTGCGTTCTAGCGGTGCCCCCCTCATATATATATATATATGTTGGAGGGGAGGAGAGGTAGCCAAGGGTGCGCGCCAAGTAGGAGGAATCCTACTTGGGCGCCACCCAATTCGGCCTCCCCCCTTCCATATTCATTCGGAGGGGGGAAGGAAGGAGGAGGGAGGAGAGAAGGAAGGGGGGGGCCGAATTGCTCCCCTTCCTTTCTCTCTTCCCCTCTTTCCTTCCCCCCTATTTCGGCCTACATGGGGCGCACTGTCCCCTTCTTGGCCCATTAGGCCCATGTAGTTGCCGGGGGGATGCCCGAAACCCCTTCTGTTGACACGATATGTACCCGGTACCCCCAGGACACTTCCGTTGTCCGAATATCATCGTCCTATATATGAATCTTTACCTCTCGACCATTTTGAGACTCCTCGTCATGTCCGTGATCTCATCCGAGACTCCGAACAATATTCGGTCACCAAATCACACAACTCATATAATACAAAATCGTCATCGAACGTTAAGCGTGCGGACCCTACGGGTTCGAGAACTATGTAGACATGACCGAGACACCTCTCCGGTCAATAACCAACAACGGAACCTGGATGCTCATATTGGTTCCCACATATTCTACGAAGGTCTTTGTCAGTCGTACCGTAATGACAACATACGTTATTCCCTTTGTCATCGGTATGTTACTTGCCCGAGATTCGATTGTCGGTATCTTCATACCTAGTTCAATCTCGTTAACGGCAAGTCTCTTTACTCGTTTCGTAATACATCATCTCGCAACTAACTCATTAGTCACATTGCTTGCAAGGCTTCTTACGGTGTGTATTACCGAGAGGGCCTAGAGATACCTCTTCGATACTCGGAGTGACAAATCCTAATCTCGATCTATGCCAACCCAACAAACAACTTCGGAGATACTTGTAGAGCATCTTTATAATCACCCAGTTACATTGTGACGTTTGATAGCACACAAGGTATTCCTCCGGTATCCAGGAGTCGCATAATCTCATAGTCAAAGGAATATGTATATATATATATATATATATATATATATATATATATATGACATGAAGATAGCTATAGCAATAAAACTAAACGGTCAATATGCTAAGCTAACGGATGGGTCTTATCCATCACACCAGTCTCCTAATGATGTGATCTCGTTCATCAAATGACAACACATGTCTATGGCTAGGAAACTTAACCATCTTTGATTAACGAGCTAGTCTAGTAAGGCTTACTAGAGACACTGTGTTTTGTCTATGTATCCACACATGTATCAAGTTTCCGGTTAATACAATTCTAGCATGAATAATAAACATTTATCATGATATAAGGAAATATAAAATAATAACTTTATTATTGCCTCTAGGGCATATTTCCTTCACGTTGGCGGTGGCAACTCTCGTTTATGACGAGGTTGTCGCTACCGGAGCTCCGGTGTATCTTGGGGCTCGGCCTTCATGGCAACGAGCGGCGTCCGTGCGCCGGAGTATGAAGACGACGTGCCCGCAATGCGCCTTGGCTGCCACAAGGCGCCGCTCCGACGCGAGAAGGACGGCGCCGGATACTCCATCCGCGACGAGTTGCCGCCCTCATTGTGCTCGAGGACGGCCTCGAGAGTGTGCTCGGGGATGCCCCACCATTCCCGCCGGCCCTCGGAGTTATGGTGCCCGCGGATGGTGGAGCGTTGTTCGTTGAGGCGAGTTGTTCGGCGTGGCGGCGCTCGAAGTACGCCATCCACAGATTGTGGTTGTCGAGGGCGTATCTCGGCTGCTGCCGCACGTTCTCCGACAGAGACCACCGGATCCGTGCGATCTCGGCGCGCCGTTCAACACCAGAGGACGGCGGTGGCACCGGGACTCTGCCGACGTTGAGCCTCCACGAGCCTGGCACCCGCATGTCGGGCGGCGCCGAGTAGTCCACCTCGTAGAGGAGGCGAGCCTCCGCCTCGCACAGGTGGTGACGGCCGAAGCCATTGGCCGCCGCTCCATCGCCGAGGAAGCACTCGGACATGATCGTGGCTTGAGACGGGGAGAGAGAGGGCGTCAGCAGCGAAGAAGAGAGGGGCGTTGGCGGCGAGAGAGAGAGGTTGTGGCGAGCAAGTGTGCGGCCAGCGGCGAGGGTGTGTGGATTTTATGGCGGCGAGTGGGCGGCAACGGTGTGGACGTGTGGCAAGAGGGGGCGGGGCGCGCGGCGGTAGCGCGCCTTCACTGCGTTGCCCGTGAATCAATGGAAGGCTGATCGGCGGCAGCCTTTGCATTGATTCCCGCGGGGAACTGAGGCGATGAGGACGACGAAGATTCTCGGTGTTGCCTAGTCCTGACTCGACGGGCCCATCAGGCTTTCGCGCCAAAAACGTCCCCCCAGTGCCCCGGGCGCCCCCAGCGTGGCAGGTTCGACCTGGGTCCGCTGGCGCCAATTTCGGCCCTAACCGGCGAAAATTG